AACTAGGTGATCTTTAAGGTCCCTTCCAACCCAACCCATTCTATGATTCTATGTTCTTATCTTTCATAAAGAGAAAAAAACAGTAAAGAGAGGAAAAAGCATCTAATGCAAAAAAGATCATTCATTGGTTTGCATAGGGTCTTTCTTGTGAACAAAAGAAGAATTTAGACAAGGCTAAATTATCTATTTCAACAATAATGAGTAATGTAGGATATACAAGAACTATATATTGGGATCTGTAACAAATATTCAGCTAGATCTTTCTTAAGTGGATTAGTGTTCCCCACTGTGTATCAGGCATACTCACCTGCATGGGTACTTTTCCAAGTGTTGGGCCCAGTTCTGTTCTAAGTCTCCAATGTTTCCCCCAAGCTGTAAGGCACAAGGACTGGGAAGCTGTAATCTTGCCGGGGCACTGAAATCATACAAGGAACAACTAACCCTGCGTTAACGGTAGATAGCAATGGTGGCAAGACCACAGTAATAGGACTTGTGGTGCGAAATACCTCACTGTTTGTATTGTTTTCAGGATGTAACTGCAATGGCCACTCTGGCAGATGCCACTTTGACATGGCCGTGTACCAGGCCAGTGGTGGCGTCAGCGGTGGTGTTTGTGAGGACTGTCAGGACAACACCATGGGGCAACACTGTGACCAGTGCAAACGTTTCTTTTACCGGGATCCACTCAAAGTCATCTCAGACCCTCAGGCGTGCCTCCGTAAGCTTCCCTTTTTTAGCTTCTCTAAGAATGACTCAAAACAGGGTGGTTCTGGTCTTCTGCTCTGAATTTTGTAGCATCCCCATGCTTAAATGTTCATACGGTTGTAAAAATGTTACCAAACCTATAACCTTATAAAGTAACTGCATGACAGCATCCTTGAACCAGCATTGTAAAAAGAGCTTCATGTTCCAACTCATTGCTAAACTAAGCTTAGAAATCCAGCAGGGCTATCATCTTTCTTGAACAACATCAATATGAACATGAATAGCAGTAGTGCTGTTGCCTCTGTGATAGTCAGGGGTTACAGAAGAGGTGAGAAATGATGGGAAGTGTAATAACTTTCGCTAGGTACTTGCCAAATGCAAGAAAAATGGTGTAAAAGGTGTCTTTCAGGTGTAAAAGCCCTTCTTCTGAAAGATGAGCTAAATTCAGTATTAACATAGGGTGGGAAAAATGCTCTGATCATAATTTAATTGTAGAAATAGATTGGCATGAAAAGTCCTGAAGGAGCCATGGGGCGATTACCCAGGGGAGTGGTGTGGTAGATGTCAGCTCTCCTGTGAGAAGTCGGTAGTGCCTTAGGAATTAACGGGATGCATCAGGAAGGCAGTGTCCCATGCTGAATCCGTTGCTTCCAGTAAATAATTCAGCCATGGACAACTCAGACCAGCTCTGGGGAGGCGGCTCATGTGTGGTACCCCTGCAACCCTACAGCTTTCATGAGAGCATATCCAAAACTATGGGGCCCGCTCCTCTGCAGGTACTCTGGAGAGGGTAGGGAGTGGATGAGTGATGCCTATTTCTGCCCAAAGCAGAGGGTATATTTCTACTGAAGTGAAGACTGTAACTCTCCTCAGAAAAAAACCAGATCTTGGAAACATTCTCAAACAGGGGCTGTGCATTAACTGTAAAGCAGCCAACACAGCAAGCACAGATGGATATCTTTAATCCTTACAAGAATCTTGAATTTGTGCCTACCAGCAGCTCCATAATTGCTTTTTCATGCTTATATCTAAATGTGCTTTTTTATGTGTAACCATGCCTGTAGCCTGCAACTGTGACCCAGAAGGTACGTTGCACAACGGCGTGTGTGACAGCCACACAGATCCTGCTCTGGGAATGGTCGCAGGCCAGTGCCCTTGCAAGGAGAACGTGGAGGGTGTCCGCTGTGACAAGTGCAGGGTGAACTACTACGGGCTGAGCGGCAGTGACCCTCTGGGCTGCCAGCGTATGTAAACCACCTCTTTTATTCTTCTTTCCAAAGCATTTTTAGCAGATGGAGGTAGTTGAATGCACAGATGCACACACTTGCACTACTTGCTTCACAAAATGCCCGGTTCCTTACTATAATTTAATGTCAATCTAATTTAATGTTCCTGGTGCAGCATCTGAGACTGAAAAGATGCAAAATCACTTGCAGAACCCATATTATACTATAATAGATGAGGCTGTTGTTAATAGAAAGATTGTTAAATATGCAATTTAATTTAAAAGGGAGACTAAAACACATGAAGATTATTTTGGCATCAAAATCAGCATAAAGGTGAATGAAAAGCCACAGGTGGGCTGTTAGGATAGTTGGATTCTGCACTGCACAGTGCAGCATCAAGATGACAGGAGCTGCTGCCTTGCCATGCCAGCCGTTCCTCTGAGAGAGGCTCCCTGAAAAATTCATCCTGCTCCTACTCAGGCACACTGTGGGTTTGTGGGCATGTTATGCCCACAGCATGTTACTCAGCAACCTGCAAGGACTGTGCAGCGGGGGTCAGCACACAGCACATGGCAAACCGCCACAGCGGACTTCTGCCAGTGCCCTTGCTCCTCCTGGAGTGGATACCCACCAAGGAAACGGTCCACTCCCCAAAGGCAGTCTGAGGGCTGCACGGTGCCAGGGTATGTCCACCTGCGGAGCATCCGTCCAGAGGATGGAGACTGCCTGTCGTGCTGATTCCACATCTAAAGCAAACGCCAGTACTGCTGCCGTCACTGGGGCCTGCAGAGGTAACCACGCACTTCTCTCCCTGCAGCCTGCAACTGCGATCCCTCCGGCAGTTTGCCCTTCTCTGCCTGCGATCCTGCCACAGGAGAGTGCCTCTGCCAGCGGTTTGCCACGGGGCGACGCTGTGAAAAATGCGTCGTACGTACTCAATTGTTGTTATTACTTCTGCATGTGGTTTTAGAAGTCTCCTCTCCCATCTCCCGTCTTTTCATTGCCAGAAAAGTAAGCAATTAGTCAATATTCAAAATAATTTTACAGCTGTGTGCTCCTATTTTGCATTGACACATCTGGTTCTTTTTTACTGCTTGCAAACATTTGTGTAATCAAATTGCGCTAGGAGGAGCACTCCCAGGAAGGAAAGGAAATGCACAATCGTGTCCTCAGGCCATCTTTGCTGTTTACAGAGCAACTTGCTTGCACAAATGGGTAAATATCTTTCTCTTCTTGCAGTGGCTGAGCACCCATGCAATCTGGTAAGAGAAGCAATCTCCCATGGCCAAGCACAGGCAGCAGCACAGTAGTGCTCCAGAGCATCGCTCATCCAGGGAAATAAGTTCTGTTGTGCTTTACGTACTTAAATATTTGCCATAAAAAATCTTTCACTTCCCAGGTCGGGTACTGGGGTCTTGGCAACAGCTTGTATGGCTGTTCTCCATGTGACTGTGATATTGGTGGATCCCAGAATAACTTGTAAGTTAATGTTCCTCAAGATCTTCTTGGTTTTAATTTTTGTAAACTTTTAGGCTAGATTTTCTGATTAGGTTAATAAAGTCTCAGTACAAATGGGAAAATAGACCGTAGATGTAATTTCATCATATACAAACAGTGTAAAGTTGGGTTGGGGTTGGAAATTTATTCATGATAAGGGGATTTACCTTTTTTCTTTTAAGCCAACTTTGAATCAGCTTAAGCCAAAATTTGTTTTATATAAAATATAAACTGCATGGCTTGAGAAAACCAGAGGCCCTAATATTAAGATAAATTAGAAGTAAGTTAGAGGTGACATTTTTAACTTCCTACATCTATTTTAAAGGCTACAAATATCTTAAATTTTTCTGACACTGTTTCCTATTCAAAACATATAATTTTAGAAGTAACCTTGGTTTCAGTTGGACTGCTCCAGAAGTCTGTTGGGCAGCTGTCTTCACTGCTGCTGTCAGACTTCAGACATAGGAGCACATAGTCCAATGCGGTAGAGCAGCTCCTTGTGAGCAGGTAAATCAAAGCTAGTAATCATCTGATTTGTTAAATAGGAGTGTAAGTATATGAAAACTACCATATCATGTTGAATCAAAGGTCCTTCTGATCTTACGTCCTGCCTCCAAAATTACGGGTGATAGATGCTTAAGAATAGTGATAGATACTGTAACAGATACAGAAACAGATAGAAGAAATGGATGCAGGAATAGATAGTAACGGATGCTTAGGAAATAAAAGTATCTGTGCTTCAGGTGTGGAGTGGACAAAGATAAAACATGTCATGTCTTCTAAGCAATGAAAAAAGTAGCATTGAAAAAATCTAGTGTCAGAAACAGAGGGAGTGGGTGGTAGGAAGTTTAATAGGGGAGGTCATCAGACAATGGAAGAAATGAAGCAAAGCTGAAACAAGTGTGGGGCTGAGCTGCCCTTGTGCTGGGAGGACCCAGCCGTGACGCACTCTGAAGTCCTTCCTTTACCAACTCTTACCCTAGGTGCTCACCGAAGGATGGTCAGTGCAAGTGTCTTCCCAACATCGTGAGCCGCCAGTGCAACGAGCCAGCCCCAGGCTACTTCTTTTTACCCCTGGATTATTACGTTTATGAAGCTGAGCATGCAAAGCCCCTTTCTGGATCTGCACCATTGGTACGTAGTTGGCTTTTTAGGTGTCATGCTGCGAGGGGATCCATGCAGTGGTGGCACAGGAGCCGAAGCTGAGGAGAGGAGCCTTTCCTCAGGGAGCAGCCAGAGCAGCTCTTTAGCAGCAAGATAACACAGCAAGTCCCTTGACCACCCTCAGTTCGTCCTTGTTCTTCGTGGACATGACTATCCCATAACTGTGGCTGTTACCAAGGGACAGTCATTACAGCATGGTGTGACCTGCAAGGCTGTCCTTGTTGCTTCTCAAATGCAGGCTGGTCTAGTATGAATTAGATAAATTCATTTAATTCTTTAAATTAAAGGAAAGGGTTTGAGTTGCCAACAGCTATCATGAACTGTGATGATTCTGAGAATCTCCAACAGGGGAAGAAT